TGCTTGTTAAACAAACTAGGATAGGTTCAATCGGTTGAAGAATCATGATGGCTCAACTGAACTCTGACAGATGTTTGGTATGTACCGAAGTTCAAAAAGAATCTCATCTCTTGGGAGCCTTGGAATTAAAGGCTTCACGGTGAATATGCGAGATGGAATTCTAAAAGTTTCTTCAGGCGCTCTGTGGTAATGAAAGGCACAGGAGAAACAACTTGTATTAATAATGGTAGTACAGTATTGAAACGATAGCTACAGTCGTGCAGAAGGATGCAGATTCAGAAATGCTCAAGCTGTGGCAATGCGTTTGGGGATGCAGGTGAAAAAGCTTACTTAGTTTGGTGAATCAAGGTTATTGAAAGGTGCAAAGACCTGTAAGCTGGATTTTTGTGAGCATTGTGTTCTGGGAAAACAGACAAGAGTGAATTCGGCACCGCAATCTATAATACTAACAGTATTTTGGATTATGTTCATTCTGATGGGGGGACCTACCAAAACAAATCTTTGGGAGGTATGCACTATTTGTCACTTTTGTAAATGATTTTTCCAGAAGAGTTTCGGTGTATGTGATAAAAACTAAAGATAACGTACTTGGTGTTTTCCTTAAATGGAAAAAGATGAGAGACTCAGACTGGCAGAAAGATCAAGCAGCTACGTACAGATCATGGTGGGGAGTATCGTAGTGATCCGTTTTTGAAAGTTTGCCAAGATGAAGGAATAAAGTACTTTACAGTGAGAAATACACCACAGCAGAATGGGGTGGCAGAACGCATGAATCGAACTATACTGGAGAAAGTTCGATGTATGTTGTCCAATTCTGGGTTGGGCAAAGAGTTTGGGCTGAGGGAGTTATATATGCATGTCATCTCATTAATCTCTACCATCAACTGCAATTGAAGGCAAGACGCCGATTGAGGTCTGGTCTAGAAAACCTGTTTCTGATTATGACTCTTTACATGTTTTTGGTTCCACTGCTATTATCATGTAAAAGAGTCTAAGTTAGATCCTAGAGCAAAGAAAGCAGTATTTATGGGGATTACCTCAGGTGTGAAAGAATACCGTCTTTGGTGTCCAAGTTCAAAGAAAATAAGTTTAGTGGGATGTGACATTTGAGAGTCTTCTTGTTAGAACAGAAAACAGGAAGCCAGATGAAGGTTTTCAGTACTCCGCAACAGGTGGAGCATACTCAGCAGCAGGTGGAGTTTGAAACAACATCAGTTAGCCTAGCTGGAAATGAGACTCCTATCATAAAGAGTTCATTGGAGATGAAGAAGAGGATTCTTCCCAAGACCATCAAAAGAATCCATTGTCGTTAATAGGCAAGGGAGAATTAGCAAACCTGCTCGTTTTGGATACGGTGGCCTATGCACTCCCAATTAAGATGGTGAAGTTCCTTCCACTTATAATGAAGTAGCTAGCAGTTCCGAAAATAGTAGTGGGGAAAGCCATGAAAGAAGAGATGCAGTTCTCCATAAGAATGAATTGGGAGGTTGTTCAATTACCAAAGAATAGAAGGCAATTGGATGCAAATGGGTATATGCAAAGAGAAGGATTTCCGAATTTGAAAGACATCCGATACAAGGCAAGGTTGGTGGCGAAAGGCTACGCTAGAAGGAAGGAATAGATTTCAATGAGGTATTTTCTCAGTTGTTAAGCATTCTTCCATAGAATTTTTTTTGGCCTTGGTTGCTCAAATGAATCTTGAAGCTGTCAACTTGAGTTGAAAACCGCGTTTCTACGGTGATTTGGAAGAGAATCTTATGACTCAGCCAAAAGGATTTAGGATTATTGGGGAGAAGAGTTGTGTTGTAAACTAAAAAGATCGCTTTATGGTTTGAAACAATCTCTGACAGTGGTAAAGCGATTTGATAGGTTTATGAGGGTCAGGAGTACACAAGAAGCAAATTTGACAACTGTGTGTATCTTCAAGGCTACAAGGTGATACTCTCATTTATCTACTCTTATATGTTGATGATATGTTCATTGCTTCAAAGAACGTAAGAGAATTGAGAAGTTAAAGGCTCAACTAAATCAAGATTTGAGATGAAGGATTTAGGGGAAGCTAAGAAGATTCTCGGTATGGAGATAATAGAGATAGAGGAAATGGCAAGTTTGTCTGACACAAAAGCAGTATCTAAAGAAGGTCTTACAACGTTTTGGCATAACTGAAAGTACAAAACCTGTAAGTACTCCACTTGCTCCTCAATAAAGCTAGTGCGTCATTATCTCCAAGTACGCATGAAGAACGAGGTATATGTCAAAAGTTTCGTATTCAAATGTGGTTGGTAGCTTGATGTATTCAATGGTTGTACTAGGCCCGACATTTCACATGCAGTTGGAATTGTGAGCAGGTATAGCATGATCCTGGTAAAGGACATTGGCAAGCTGTGAAGGGATTTTACGGTATATTATAGGTACTGTAAACATTGGTTTGGTTTTTGAGCGGATGAAAATCTTAGTCAATTCGCTGTGGCTATGTTGATTTTGATTATGCTGGTGATTTGGACAAGCGTCGGTAACTACTGGATATGTATTTACTCTTGCTAGAGCTCCAATAAGTTGGAAATCTTCTTTGCAGTCTACAGTTGCTTTGTCTACTACAGAGGCAGAATACATGGCAGTTACAGAGGCTGTGAAGGAAGCTATTTGGTTACAAGGGCTATGGATGAATTGAAAATTAGTCAGAAGAGATCACTATCTATTCTGACAGTCAGAGTGCTATTCACTTAGCAAAGAATCCAGTATTCCACTTTCGCACCAAGCATATGATGTTCGTTACCACTTTGTGCGGGAAATTATTTCTGAAGGAAGACTCTCTTAGAGAAGATTGGGACTGCTGAGAATCCTGCAGATGTCTTAACGAAGTAGTGACAATGATCAAGTTCAATCACTGTTTGAACTTGATCAACATCCTGCGAGCTTGATTGTGCTTTTTGACACATTTGAAGGTGTTGTAAAATTTGACAGAAGAATACAAAACTATGAAAGTTTGCTAATTCGCCAAGGTGGAGATTTGTTGAAAAATGGCTTTTAGCAAAATCATATGGGGTAGAAATGATAATGGAGAAAGGTTTAGGGACTTATATGTAATAGGCCAAAAAAAGGTTAGTTTGTCCCACATTGATTAGAATTGAAAAGTGGGAAACTTGGGGCCTATATATAAGGACTCAAATCATGTTATTAGGCATCCAAGTTGTAATTCCATTATACTTCTTTTGTTAGGGCTTTTTCTTTAAGGACCCTTTAGTTTGTAAGTTTCGTTGTATCTCCCTTGTTTTGGGTATTTGTTGTATTGCCCAAAAGTTGTAATGTTTGGAGATAGTGGAGTTTTTCTTTTGCAGCGCCGAGGACATAGGTTTCAATACCGAACCTCGTAATTCCTAGTATTCTTTATTTTTGCTTTAAATTTTGGCTATTTATTTATGCTTTACTACTTGTTATTATTATTCAATAGCTAGCGTTAGAGTTATGTTTCCGTTGCATAACACAAAGAAAATTATTTAAGGTAAATTGAGCATTGGAAGTTCTGAGAGAAGTGGAACTAGTGTGAGTTATTGGGAGACCTGTGCCATCTCCAATTATAATGTCATCGGAACCTGCGTATGGTCATGAATGGACAGATTTTTAAGTCAAAGGTGACATGATGTGAAGCACCACTGTCCAAAAGCCATGTTGGAGTGTTGGATGGATTGGCCGCATAATGAGCTCGTGGCTGCGAGAATAAGGATGGTGATTCTGTGGTGGTGGTTGATTGTGCAACTGGTACTAGACGAAAGGAGGGACATCATCTGGTTGTATGTCCTTGAATTTTGCAGATTTGGCTGTAGCCGAGATAGGGTTGTGGTGGTGGACAAGGTGGGTTAGGCCCAGCGTTGGTTGACGCGGGAAAGCGACCAGAGTTGGGCAACGGGCGCTAGCCCGTTTTGTTGACACCAGGTTTGGATGAGGAACGCCAACCAGTACTGGTGGGATTGGAAAAGGGTCGCCAACTTGTATTGGTGCGACTGGCAGGATTAGCGGAAGCTGGGAAATAAGACGGAACAGACTTGGTGCTTTGAAAAGATGATTCGAAACTTAGTAACTTTTCATGAAGTTCATCAAATCCAATTGGATTGTCTCTGGCCTGAACTGCACGCACAAGCTCTTTGTATTCATCACCAAGGCTATCAAGTATTTTGTCAATTAGATCTTCATCATCAAGTGGTGCTCCAAGGATCTCAAGTTCATCGATGCGAGCTTTAACTATCTATAGGAATTCAAAAATAGTTTGTGAGTCCTTGGTGAGATTTTTAAGTTGGCTTTTTACCTGTTTGATTCGTCCCCGAGAAGGCTTGCCATAAGTATTGGCTAGTATAGTCCATGCTTCCCTTGAAGTATTAGCTCTAGCAATGAATGAAATAATGGTAGGAGAGGGAGAACCAACAATGGCATTGAGGATTAGTTGATCCTGCCGAATCCAGAGTGTGTGAGCAGGATTTGGTATTGTTGTTTCATTCTGAATAAGAGTTGCAGAAGAGCATGATTTCGATCCGTCAATATACTCGAGTAGATCATATCCAATGAAGAGAGTCTGAAATTGAAGTTTCCAGGGGATACAGTTATCACCAATGAGTTTGAGACGGGCTTGAGCAGCAATGTTAATACTGATTAAAGTATTGTGTGATTCGTTGCGGTTGTGGATGGAAGTGTTTGGTGTTGTGGAACCAGAGGAAGTGGTTGTTGCCATGATGACGAGTTCAGAAAAGAAAGAAGAAGAAAAAAAATCAATTCTCTGATACGATATAGGAAGAAAATTTTTGATAGAATTCTGGTATATCTTTCTATTGAGATAATTCTGATATAAATACATAGCAGAGTATTGCTAAAACTAACAGACTTGAACCCACTCCTATATAAAAGGAACAGCTACAAGATAAAGATATAAAAAACAAATTACAGATTCAAAAAGATTTAAATACAAAGTTGAATCTGATCAGATTACTCCAGCAGAAGCGGTCTTCAATATGAGAGTCCTCCTTTACACGCTCCTTCCTCGCCATCGAATTGTGATCAGAAACACTCCAGTTTTTCTAAACGGCACTATCTTTGATTCTGTTACAGCTGACGAAGTGAGGCTTTCGATTCTGGATCTTTTTGCCGGGACTGGTGTAGAGGTGCATGGACTCGACGGGATTCTTGTTTCCGGGTTCGATTCTGAGGATGATGAAGAGGATTACGATGGCAATCATCACCTACGGCTTGTGTCACAGCCGGTGAGTCGTCCTAACTACGAGGTTGTGGCTCCAACCGTACCCCCGATGAAGTTGAAACGTGTCTCGAGATCAAAGAATCGACGGAATCCGAGAGGATCTCACCGTAATGGCGGTAAAACTGGTCATGGAAAGTTTTCGAAGTTAAAGAGTCGGATTGGTCTGTGATTTTCTCAATTAAAGTGCTGTTTGTTTCCCCCCCCAAAAAAAAAAGAGGAACTTCGGGAATCTTTTTCAGTTTTCTTGTATATTTCCTCAGGAACCAAACGGAGAAATTGTAGAGGATGAACGTTTTTAGGTGTATTGCATAAGAGAAATTCTCAGCTGTAAATGAGCTTCATCATGTTTCTAATTGCATAGTTCAGTTACATTCCTAAGAAATTAAAAGAAAAAAAGAGTTCAAGTAGTTATTTTATTTTTATTTTATTTTGGTTTTCATGTATTTCTCGGGAACCAAACAGAGAAATTGTAGAGAACGTTCGTGTTTTAGATGTATCGCATAAAAAAGTCGCACTTAATAAACGAGCTTCATCATGTTTCTAACTTTCTTTGTTTCCCGAGATAGTCAAGGAAGAAAATTAATAAGCAAAAGTTCAGAAATCTTTAACTAAAGAAATAAATTTTTTATTCCATATATAAGGATCAGTACAAATTCGTGAAGAAATTCTGAAAAAGACCCTTAATTTGAAACTGGCGAGGCTGCAGCGAAAGGCGAAGGAGCAGTTCCAGGGCCAGGGGAAGAAGGCTCAGCATCACAGTAGCCTTTAAGAATGTCACCTTCCTCAGCTGTGTAGCCAAGTGAAGTGAGCATGGCATTGGCATGCCAGCAATTACTCGTGATGACGCCGATGGCGCGACAGCATTCAGGACCGATACTCGCCTGCCCACTGAGGAAGAAGATTGCAATCTCATTTGTGCACGATTTCAGCTCCCAAAGCGCGTTGAAGCACTCGGCTAGACTTCCGCTGCTGCTGGCGGCAGCGGCTGCTTCAAGCCTCGCCGTGAGGTTGTAGCCTGGCTTGATGGGGAGGTCCCTTGATGCAGTGGCATATGCCATGAGGCATGAGAGGGCCAGAAGGGGAAGAAGCATATTTTTGAGAGGCATTTTGAGAATTGTTTGTGTTTTTAATGGAAGTGTTTGTGGAAATGACTGAGAGAAGATGGAGAAGAGATGAAACTTGGGGAAGGTTTTATAGGATTCGAGGGGAAGATTATAAGTTTTGGGAGGCCAAAGGGTGAATGAATTATGAAACAATTAAGCTGTTAATCATGCTCATTTGAAACTGATTAGCCTTTAATGCAATTGAATTTACTTATTTCTTGTAGTGGGAAGTTATGAAGATAAAACCCCTTAGTTAACCTTAATTAATTAATAATTGTAACTTCAATTCTCTCACAAATGATTCAAAATCTTCATGCAAATTTATGGAACTTAACTTTACAATATAAACAAGGGTTGCAATGTTTTACACAACCCATTTACAGCACATTCTTTCTGCATTTATGAGGTTATAATCAAACACTTGCAATCTGCAAATTACTGTTTAATCAAATTGTCCAAACTCTATTTAACAAGTTACCTGAAAATTAACCGAAACAAGTTGTTAGCATTCTTTGTTTTATCTGATCTAGAATAAAACTAATGGTTCAAGCACCAATTTTCATGCGTACAAATTCAGGGATATATCCGATTGATCTTGCTGTAATCATAAGGTAATTATCTTCAAAACAAGCTAATGGAGAACCTCAACTAGCTGCTGCTGCTTGTTAAGTATGATATTTGATGAGAATACACAATGTTACATCAATGTTAACCCACTTTTAGTTAATGATTGAGGAGCCAACCAACAGCATCACTCTTATTTACTTAAATCCCTAATTTATAGTCCTAATACATTACAAGGGATCATTAACAGGGGAAGGTGCAAGTGCAATAGAGTTTAAACTTGCTGCAAGTCCCTTGAGCTTTGGCTCCATGTTTTGCCTGGCAAGCTCCAACACAAGTTTCTGCTTCGCAGCCACTTTTAGGATTTAATATTTCCTTGCACGTTTTAGCATCCACCATCAGTAGCTCATTACCTACAAGAATTATAAACTGCGTAATTAGAATACCTTTATCCGGGGATTATGACACTAATTACAATTAAAATCAGTCGAGATTATTTTTAAATTTAATCTACCTGCAGTGGTAAAGAGAACAAGGAAAAGAATGGCAGAGATTGAGAAGCTTTTCATTTTTGCTCTTGTACAAAAGATTAAGCTAATTCTATGTGTATATATAAGGGAGATTTAGATATGAGTAAAGTTAAGTTGTTACTTGTTTGTGGCCATGAGTAAATATAATGTAACGATATAATATTAAAGCCACTAACAAAAAACAATAAAACCATATTTAAAACAATACTCACCGATGTTAAGTTAAGAAATCTACAATGATATAATAACATGACAACTATTTTACTTTAGATTCTAACATTCTTCCGTTAATTTGATAAATGTAGGGATTTGAACTTGAAATCTTTAACTCTCAAACCATGTTAAGTTACCACTACTTGAAAACTTAAGCTAGTAGTCAAAAGCTGAACACTAATATTTGAGTCTAAGGTCAATTAGAACGTTAACCAATACCTATCAATTTTACCGTGTGTTGTTAATTGTTAGAATGTGTTCATGTTATATCCATGTGGGTTAAATGTGAAATATGATGAGAGTATCATTTCACAATCTGGAGTCACTCTGTTTCACAACTTAAAAATAAAATAAAATGATAAAAAGTCTTTTATTTAAGCTCTAACAATTTTTGCCATGATAGAAGGAGATGAAGTTGAAGAGGACTAAAACTGCAGCAAAGGAATATTTAAAAACAACAACAAAAAATGATAAAAATAACACCAAAGAGATCTTTACTTGCATATAGAAATTATACAGTAGCTAGTTCTGAAATGCCTCTTAGTTATTACTTAACAAAGAAACTATTCTGCAGAATGCAAGTTTCCGGCTTGCATGACTGAGGACTATTCAGAAATTGCACAGGCCACATCAATATTTGTCCAGGCGATAAGCTGGAATAGCCACAAGATTATTTGCTGTAGGAATCACAAGACCAAACTCCTCAGTCATGCCCAATTCACTTGCCAACATTCCATTCGGAAGCTTCCAATCAAAGCAATGCAGAAGTTACGCTAACACAAGCTTCAACACTCTGAGTGCCAATTGCATTTATGTTCAATATGGTTTATACTTCTTTTAACTTTAACGGGTTATCGATTTACACTGACTCATGGTAAGCTCTATTAATAATTGGGTTTAGAATTAATTTGTTAATATTTGGGCTTAAGTTGGGTTATATCAAGTAAACCCCAAATGGGATTAGGTTTTCTATTACATGCATTTGATGCTATTTACATTGTATTTGTTGTAGCTATCTAGTACTCAATAAAATTTTTTATTTGAATGTTGAATGCAGTTTCTTTATTGGAACGAAACAGGTAAAATCGTGTGTCTTCTTTATTTTTCTGCTTTTATTGTTGCATGTGTTTTTGCTGTGGTTTCAACAATTCCAAGGCAACTGCTGGGGCAAGAACCAAATGGGAGAAGCTGAAAGTGCTGTCCGCTGAGATCGATCTTACTCCCAACAAACTTTTCTCGGTAAAACTCCCCAGATCAATCAAGGCTTCAGGATGTCTTCCGATTACGCATACCTTTATAAAAATACGCGAACTTTTTGCTATGTCAAAGCTTTTTACCGTGAAATCTTTCGCGGATTCAAAGTTTCTTTCACAACCATGTTCAATTATTCCAGCTTCTCCAAATCCGATTCTTCAACCATCCTGTTCAGTCCCACAACAGTTTCCAACTCTTTTTGTAATTTCTTTGTAATCTCAGGATTATTTAAGAGTTCCAAAAGTGTCCATTCAATAGCTGTAGAACTCTCTTGCACTCTTCGACATCTTTCTTACTGCTCTAGTCTTCTTCTTCGGGAGTTCTTGTCTTTCTTTCTCTTGCTTTTCCCTCTTTTTACTTTACGTTCTTCTTCTTTTATTAAAGTTGAGGTTCCTATAAATAAACAGAGATTATTTTATAACTATTTCGTAAGGTTTAAGGTACCATAAATAATCTGAACCAAATTTCTCATCGGATATAATTCAAATTCGAAAGAGTGGATAACTCAGAGAAGAAAGTTATTGGTCATGGAGAAAGAGTTGTTGTCTTTGTGTGAAGCGACCAAGAAAGCAGCTCCTGCTACTGCCATGGACATTGTCTCCTCAAATGGACCAGAGATTTCGCGATGTATTGATTCATTGAAGCGGCTCAAGGATTTTCCGGTCACCGGCGAGGTTCTTGACTCAACTGCAGTGGATAAACAGCTCCGACATCTCTGACAACATAAAAGAGAGAAGATTCGATCAATGGCTAAATTCTACAGTTTTCAATATAAACAAATCTTTTTTCATACAAAAGACTCTCTCTCAGTTTTACATTATAGAGCTATTCTATAACAATTGTTTACAGAGAGTTTAAGTGGAGCGGAAATAAACAGTGGGATGTTATCATCCAGATTAATCCAACGGTTGAAACTCCATCCAAGAATCACACGCGCATATATAAACGACCACAGCGGATCAGATTTTTTCACAGCTCAACGAACTCAAAAGAACTCCCGCCAAATTCAACAAACAAACAATGGAAAAGATTCTCTCACCTGTTCTCCTCCTTATCACACTTTCTTCTCTCCTCCCTCCTATCACAACCGCACATCTCACCAACCAAGAACTCTCTCACGCAATCTCAGCCCTCCGATCCCACAGCTACACGCTTTTCTCCAAAGCCATCACCGAATCCGACCTCCACAACCGCCTCCTCTCCTCACGGAATTCCACTTTTACCCTCTTCTCTCCGCCCGACTCACTGATCTCCGCTCTCGGTCTCTCCTCCCGCTCCCTCCTCTACCACGTGTCACCTCTCAAACTGCCCTCGTCACACCTCCGAAAGTTGAGCTCCAGTGGAGGCTACTATGTCGACACGNAATATGAGTGTAGAAGAGATGGCAAGTGATAAAAGGCAGAGTGAGATTAGGAAGATAAAAGAGAAAGCAGCTTTGAGGGAACAAATGGCTGAGGAAATATCAGAAGAAAAACAGGACTTTGATGAAGTAAATTGGTTGGAATCATTGTGGTGATTGTCATTGTAAATTGATCAGAGTGTACTGGTGTTTATGTAGTATTGATATATGACAAGTTATTAGTTTCTTTATAATCCAGGTATATCAGTTCTTAGTAACTATTCTTTGGGAAAGTAAATGATTTGATTGCTGTAATTTTAAACATTAGCTTCCTGAGCTAAATTAGCAGTGGAACGTGTCGACTTCAAAATGAAATATACATTTATTTAGTATTTGTTCATTATTTTTTTCTTTAACTTTCTTTAATTCGATGTTAATGGCTGTTACAATAACCTGAACCACCTATTATTGCCGCTACTAGTAACTGGGACTATTCCAGGTTCTATGCTTGCAGATGCTGAGGCCTCTGTTTCTCAACAGGGAACAACTGTTTCATTTTCCATTGATTTCAGGTTTTGGCCAAAGTGTTAACTTTAATTTGGAAAATGGATGACAATTATGCCTAATCTAATGTCGGTGTCTGAAATGCATGTATGCAAAATGTAGAAGTATTGTCCATATTGCTTCTTACAGTTTTCTGGGAAGCAATTCCCTCCTGGTTTCATTATTACTGTTCCTTTACACTCTGCACCATTCACCAACATTTTCTCACTCTCTGCAATTAAGGAATTAACAAATTTCCACAACTTCATCATAAAAGACTAGACTAAAAACATAAATAAGAACATTAAAACTTACCTGTGGCAATCAAAACAAAAAGTAAAAAAGCACCAAACAAATGGAGGAATTTTTCATATTTTATCTCTTGCATGAAAGAACTAGCTAAATTGTTGTAGCGTGAGATAAGATAATAGTGAAATGTAATTGTTTATGACTAATATCTATAATTAGGCCTATGATATTTTTATGGGAAAATTAATTAAATTCTTGAAGATTTTGTCAGCTGAAGGTTATATATATATAATTAATACTTACTAAAATTAAAATTAATTCGAAAACAAAAATCC